TGTGTACATAAACGTTTATCGTCTATTTATATATGAACTTTATCTGTAGTTGTCATATGTGGAGGCATCTATGGTAGACTTTTAGCATAGTGGAGGCACCCGTGGTGGACTTTTAGCATTATTCGTAGTGGTAACTTTTTTGTTAGTAGGGTTTTGTAGACCTGACAAAACAAATCTGAAATCGAATGATCCGAAACCAAAACCGAAATAATCTAAAATGTGTGATGTATAACCGAAAAACCTAAATTATTCGAACCAAACCGAAATTGAACTAAATATATCCATACCTGATTTACATTCAAAACCAATCAAATCTGACCGATTAAATATGAAACTGATAATATTCAAAATTGATAATACCCGGAACCAATAAGACCTGAAACCAATAATACTCGAAACTGATCATTTCTGGAACTGATCCTGTCTGACAATAAACATATTACATTTATGTGATTTCAAATTTTTACTTCTATTTTACCATTTCATCTAGTTATATATTACTTACGTTTTTCGATCCAAAATTAATTATCATTATATTACAAAAGACTATTTACTACCTCCGTCCCAGAGTATTTGTCCACTTTCATTTTTACACCCCATCCAATATACACTTCTTTAATCCATTTTATCTTATAATTTGTATATCAAAAAATTATAGAAATTATATATTACTCCCTCCGTCCTAAAACTTTCTTCCCATAGCACTATTCCAACTTCACGGGAATTTATATTTATTTGTGTTTTTTCATGGCTTATATGATAAAATAAAATATTCTTGTCACCACTTGTTTTGTTGAACTTTTGATGTAGTTTTTAAATATGTATGTTTTATTTTTTATTTCTATACCAATATTTAAATAAAATAGATTGAAAAAACTTGAGATTTTTCTTCGTTTTGCGCAACGGGAAGAAAGTTTTAGGACGGAGGGAGTAATAATCTACTCCCTCCGTCCCCCTGTATTTGTCCACTTTCATTTTTACACACCATCCAATGCACTTCTTTAATCCATTTTATCTTGTAATTTGTATATTAAAAAATTATAAAAATTATATATTAATAATCTATATGTTAAGACAAATCAAACAAGATCACATATGACTATACTTAGGCTTACACATTGAGAGAATTTGATGAGTCAAAGTACTTAGATAACCAGTTCCAAAAGTCAAATGCGGACAAATACAGGGGGACGCGGGGAGTATATGTTAAGATAAATCAAACAAGATAACACATGACTATATTTAGGCTTACACATTGAGAGAATTTGATGAGTCAAAGTGCTTAGATGAACAGTTCCAAAAGTCAAAACTGGATGAATACTCCAGGACGGATGGAGTATGAAATTTACTCAAAAAATATATATATATATACTACATTGCATGAAGAAACCTGATTGTATCATAATTTCATACGATTACATTTTATTTTATTTTATTCTTTTTGGAGTAAATTTGCTTGGCTATAAAATTATTTACTCAATTTCACTAAATTACATTCAATTTCACCCAAAATGTATCTAATCAAATAAAATTTCATTTTGAAAATAACATATATCCAAAATATATCCGAATGAATTATATCTGAAATTGAAATATATTTGAACCGAAATATATCCAAAATTGAAATATATCTGACCGAAATGTGTTCGAAATCTATCCAAACCGATTGATATGCGAATTGTATCTGAACCGATCCAGAACCGAACCGAAACCGAAAACTCTATGGAACCGAAATAAGTCCGAATCAAAATTGAACCGAATTGGACAAATTATAACATATATCTGAATTGAAAAAATCCAAACCAAAACTGATCCAGTTGATCCAATTGTCAGGTCTAAGGTTTTTTATATTTAGGTCCTGTTTGGCTACTAAGTATCATTGTTTTGAAAATGCTATCAAATTGCAAGTTTTAGTTTTACGGTTTTCAAAATTAATTGGCATCAGTATTAAAAAAAGTTGGGCTAGGAAAGTGGGAATTTTTCTTATAAAAAAATTTGGGATTTTATTCAATGTCAAAAAACTCTCAAGTGGTAGTGAGAGTGGTCAAGACCATATTAAGGAGCAATTTGCATAAGGGCGTTTCTAACAGAGAAGCGATAGAAAATAGAATATCTACCGAAGAAACAAATGATACTATAGTTTTTCCTCATCCAACAAAGCTTGTATAAAATTGTGGACAGTCAATTAACTTAAGACCTACTCGTATATTTGAAGGTTAACTATTGATCAGTTAGAATAGAGAACTAAAGATAAAAATATGGAAGATAATAGAGAGAAGAGTATAATGTATATTCTTGGCATGCCTCATTTTTTGTGCATCAGTGGGAAGAAGAGAGATTTTTTTTAAAGAAACACCAACAACCCGGTTGGAAGAACAGAAGAAACATAATGTGCAAGACAATGAGCAAACCGGTACACGAACGACGAACAAAAGAAATAGAAGCAACATCAAAATTAAGGAAACTAAAAATGAAGTCCTCAATTAAAGTACCAAAGTGATGGATATCCGGGCCCAGTAATCAGATGGGAACAGCCCAATTGTGATTCCACGGCCCAACAGGGAGATAAATCCAATTCAAGAACGAAGGTGGGCCCAGAGTGTTGGGTCCGGCCCGATACTCGAATTAGCTGTGATTCCCCAAATCGTGTAATTGAGGGGAGTTGATGACTGATTCTTCGCCACAATTGATGCATGACTGACGGATTGCCGAAAATGTAGCACACGAAATATTACATACCTTGCATACGGTTGAAGTAGACTTTAAATAGGGGGCAAACCCTCCATTGTAAAGCAGGCTGAATATAACTTATACAAACATGCGAGAGTTCTCATTTTCTCTAAGTCTGTTCTATTATTCTTTCCTTCTTCGTACGCCATAGTCGTTAGCCTAAATCCCATTACAAAGAATAAAGACCATAATGAGTAGACCTGACAAAAAGTGACCCGACTTGTTTTTGACCCGAAACCCGACCTGAAAACACTAGGTTTTGAACAAAGGTTTTGATGACCGAACCCGAAGTTGACCGAACCCGAAATGACCCGCTAAAAATGGGTCAAATCCGACCGAACCCGAACCCGACCTGACCGACCCGCTAAAGTAAGAATTTTTCAAAATTATACACTTTTTTACTCGTTTTTAGTGTATATAAATTTATATTTTTAGACAAAATTTTAATGATATTGCATAATTATCTTACTATTTTCTCAAACTTAAGCATTTTTAAATTCCTTATAATGATTTATATATGTAAAAAATACTTTAGAGTTTAAAATAAAATAATTTTATAGATTTAATAATTTTTTTGATATTTTAAATTTATTTAATAGAAAATGTAAGTGTTAATGTGAATTTAAAAATTTAAAAAACCAAAGTCATAACCCGTTGGGTTGACCCGAACCCAATGACACTGGGTCATGAACATACAGTTCTCAACCCGAACCCGAATTGACCCGAACCCGAAATAACCCGAACTTGAAGTGACCGAACCCGAACCCCTGATCGACCGATTTGCCAGCTCTAATAATGAGTAAAGTTCCCTCCTGAATAGTCAAAACCACCTATGAACAATTTGAGTAGAGTTTAACTTCCATCATCTCGCGATTCTTCAATTGAGAAAGCGCTTCGCGACTAACAAGTAACAACCACTTTTGCCAATTATTGATCCTGAGCACAATTCAACCAGCCATTGACCGCAGCTCAAGATTAATCCTTCGGGGATAATAGAACACATCCCAAACTAGCCGCTTGCACCTCTACAACAGCACCTGTCGGGGAAGAAACCTCCGTTGAAGCAACCTTCGGAGTAGTCATGGGCCTCCAAGACATTTAATAAAATATTAATAGCAGTGTATTTAATTAAAGCTGATGTGATTGGAGTTCATATAAAAAAATGAACATTTGAACTGCTCTAGATAAAGTGATAAACTATGTGTACTTTTTATGGCAACTTGTTTTTAGCGTCTTCTGGAGATTCTCTAAGAACATCTCCGTTGGAGATAGCTAAACATGACAATTGACAAGTATAAACCTAGTTTATACGGAGTATTACATACAATATTTTACATTGTCTTTTTTGCTTGTGTTCTAACAGTATCCGTTTTTTTCATCTCCTCCCCCTTTACTTTATATTACTCCGTCTAATGGCTAGGATTCTGACCAAAGACCGCTGTCGATACATCCTTATCAACTGGAATTGCTATCTATTACAAATATAATCTACCAATATCATCTCTGGTGAGAACCCTAGCAAATAGTTATAGTCATTATTATTGTATTGTTCAACAAACCCACATCGAAATACGTCACTAGACATAAAATCAATGTGAAATTACAAATATGAGATAAGAGTTTTTTTTACCAAGGAAAAATTTGGTTTGTTGAACAAATATGAGATAAAGAGTTTTTGACCAAGGATAAATTTGAGAAATCGTGATATAGCATTTGGGGGGGGGGGGGAGTGAGGGAAAAGATTAAAGTGTAGTAGGGAAAAGAAGAAATAAATAAAAGAAAGTGTGAAGTATTAGGGAAAATAGGAGAAAGTAGGACCAATCATTCAAATAATGAAATTTTGATGATTTTTCAAATTAAAGCGTGACACAATACTCCGTATTAACATTTTCTTAGCAATTATCTCACATTCTCATGGCATACCCATTGTGTGAACTGTGGAAGGGCAATGGAGAGATGTAGAGGGGAATGAGAACTACAAAAGATAGGGAGGGGGAGAGAAGTAGGAGAGAAAAGGGGTGGATATAGGGTCATATGATAAAGCATTGACTAAATTCTCACATGTCTTATGTCCACATTACCACATATAGACCTAGCACTTCTTTGTCTCAAATTGAGGGAACTCTACCAAGAAATGTAAATTGTGGAAAAAATTGGGTCTGACCACTTATAAGTGTGTGTGTGTGTGTGTGTGTGTGTGAGAGTAGAAATATACTATGCATAAAAGTATAGACAAAAAACATAGTATGAGACTATGAGCTAATAGTGTGTAGTAGCACCCTGAGTTGCCTTTTGAGGTTAGAAGGATGAAATTAGGTACGGAGTAGTACATTAGTAAAGTTAATTTTTTTTTTCAGCCATGAATGAATCTCACAGGATATTAGGCTGGCTGTAAGGAGCACAAAATGGTCCATATAAAAATGTTGAACCACCAAGTGACAGGACAAATAGATAAATCATTCCTGCTGGTCAGCATGCAGGGGAGGAGGAGCACTTGAAGAACGCGGACTTGGCTGTTTATCCTTTTCTGAAGTAGCTACCGATCCATTACTGCTACTACTGTGAGACATGGACAATTCTTTGACCTCCTTCACTGCTGCCTCTTCGATAGGAAGGGTTCTCTTTGAACCTTCCAGAGCAACACCGAGTACTATATTCTCTTCAATGCCAGCAGATTTTGATGATGATGATGGCGGCTTTGAAGCATTCTGGTCCAGCTTGGAGGCCGGCTTTGAGGTTGTTTTAGCAGTAACATGTGAGACTTGTCCAACCTTTGGCTCAAGCTTGGTCAAGTCAGGTGTTGATGAAGTGATGGCATTCGCTTTGGGTTCGGCTTTGTTATCGGGTGGTGGTGGTGTTGAGCGTTCCCCCTTGAGGGAGTCTTCCTCACGCACAGTTCTGACTTTTGTTGGCTCAATGAGCAGCACCTGGCGGCTCGAGGTGGCCCCACGGTTGAATATTGGGTCTGCTACATCATAAGGTATGTTGTCCAAGTCTAAATCCCCGTATATCTTCTGAACAGTTCGGATTGGAGTGGCTAATCTGGCTCGGTGGTGTCGTATCACTCTCAGAAGATCCAATAGTATAGCTTCCTGTTTGTTTGTTTGTGTCAAATTAACAAGTTACAGAGTATATACTAACCTTACATCTGTCTTGCACAATGGGTAGGCAAGTATATGTCCACTCACCTTCACACAGAGGTACTCTTCAAAATGTGAGGTCTTTACAAAGCAAGATATCAGGATCTGCAAATTCCACTTGCATTCGTTTAAAGTCTTGAGCACCAAAATATTGGAACACATATTTTAACGTGTTAAAATGTGTTCCAATATTAGAACACATATTTTAACAATGATTACTGATTTGTTGTTGATGATGTTGTTGTTGTTGTTGTACATTTTCGCAATGATATACTACGTAAGACAGATAGTCACTTTCCAAGGTATGTAAAAAGGAATCATAACCATAGTCAGTATTCAAGAGAATACCAGTGGATCATTTTGAAAGTGTACCTTAAAAACTACATAAGTTTTAGAAGAGAAAACCGTAAAGACTAGACACTCATTTTCAGTGTTCGGAAGAGTGCCAATCCACCAGTCACATTTTTATATGATAAAAGGCGTTGAAACACTTAAGCTTACCAGGAGGGCTTGGTTTTCAGGATTAACATCCTCTAGAAAAACTCTTTTGTGCAACTTTTTTTGTTCTACTTGAGGATTCTTTGATAAAACTTTCCGCATATCAGCTACAATGTTCTGGAAAAGAAAAGATTCATAACCTTTAGTTTGATTCATTAATGCATCCTTGTGTGCTTACAAACCATACATCAGATTAGGAATACTTGAGCTTACATTAATCTTACTGACATCCAAATGACTAATGGCAAGGTGAGTTTTTATCCGCCAATGAGTTTTCTGGCTGAGATTTCTCACAACATTAACAGTGAACTTGTGGTTAGGTATGTGAACAGCTTCACGGTCTTCACCTCTTATAATTGTTGGTGACCACCAACCCACATGCTGCCATATATAATGAATGCAAATAAGCAAAACCGAAGAAAAATGCCTATTCAACAGATAGAAACATGGCATATAGAATAAAAAAAACTATATAGTGACATTGATTCTCAAAGGTGGAGATAATACATCACAGAAGAAAAAAAGTTACCTCTACATATTTTCTCTTCAGTATATTAAATGATTGGGGGTTGTAATAAAGAAATGGTATACAAACCTCCACAGTTCCAGAAACTTCATAACCTTCAATTTTTGTTTGGATCCATTCATTGAGAACAAATGGTCGAGTTGCATGAATCATCATACTAGAAAGGAAATTAGTAAAAATCTGAAAATCACAAGAGTTGAGTTAACACATTTATCAAAAAATAACAGCATGAAGGATTCAAAAACCAAATATCACTATATCAGTATGTACTTATTAGAACAAGGTGAACCAGGTGAAGGAAAATAAAAAATAAAATCCAAAAACTAAAGATTTGAAATACACCTCACGGCCAGCAAGAGTTAGCAAGACAGTCCCAAGTCCTCCAGCAGTGAGCCACTTCTGGGTAGAAAAACCTAGCAACTCCATGAACAATGACACTGCAGCAACCCACACTGCAGTATATACAGCTTTTCCAGCAAACTGGAAGCCCATCTGCAAGGAAAGAGAGGTGTAAGTTCATAATGCTTCTGTGCAGTATAAACATTATCATGAATATTCCAATGATCGAGAGTTTAGATTCCCATTGCGATTGATAACAATTCCCTGACTAACAATAATGTACATGTAACGTTACAACAGAAATTGAGGAAAAGCTTCAGAATTACATTTCTCGTATCAGAAGGGTCATTTGTCTCCATGAAAAACTTATGTGTCTGCTGTATCACACTGCATCAAAGATTAATGGGGAACTAAGATTATACGGAACATAGGCATTTAGCAGTGACTTCAGTTATTTAAATAATAGCAAACCTTCTACACCAGAGCGACAATATACAACAACATTACCCTAGTGCCTCAAAGGCTCCTGCCCATTGCGGGGTAAGTGGGTCGGATGTACGCCTGACCCCTATGTTTAAAACATAGGACGGCTGTTTCCAAATGACCCATGAAAAGCATCTAAAGTTGCAATAACTAACTGCTACTTCACTATTAAAAGAAGCGCAAACAGTTTGAATTGCCATTTTGCTTTATTCTATCATAAAGAAAAGCCAAAAATAGTGAATCTTTGGCTCCATCAGAGATAATGGAAAGGGTTAATGTGAACACTGTTGATATGTGAAATTGTGAACGGAAACGTTAGCAAGTTTGCAGCAACCTCAATACTCACCTTGACAAACAATAAGCAAAAGCTAACACTGTTGATAGCGATCTCACAAAATTTAGAAGCCGCTGTTTAACAATTTGACTAGCTTCTGTTGGAAGAACCATTGGATCCACTGCTCTGTACAAAACGTAACAGGTATAAGTACATACAGAGTACTTTGTATTTGTTCTTTAGTTGTAGTAACTTGTACCCAAAAAAAACAAAACAGGAAAACAATGTTGCTTTAGTCACCAAAACATTTACAGTCTGTTTGGTTGAAAGGAGATTTTCTTTGATTCCTAAATCATGCCCAAAGGTTTATTACTCACATGTTTGGTTCAATTCTGACTTTTTCCTTAGGAGATTTTTTCCTCAAAATTGAGGAATAAATCTTCCCATGGGTTTGTGGTTGGGTTTTTTCATGTCTTGAAGGAAGAAAAAGATAAATGATATGTACAAAATTCCCCTCACAATTATGCTGTTATTATTATCATCACCACCATCATAATTATGAGTATTATGTTACTCTTACAGGGACAGCTTGATCTTTAACCTCATTATCCCCTCTCAAAGCCAAAGCTTAACAAACCACAGAATAAATACTCATATTTGCATTTCACAATCAATTCATTCTTACTTACCTAACAGTAAAATTAAAAATCGTCCATTATTCTTTTCAGATGGAACTAAAATTTCATTCCCATTATATGTCTTACTGGCCACTGGGTACCACATGCAGTGTTAATCTTTTCACATCTATATTGTATTAGCTCACCTGCAGACAAGCATTGCTCCAGTCCACAGCACCAAAGGTTGAAGATAAGAGGTCATAACATGATATGTGTTACTCTTGTTCCAACTACTATCACTTTTCTGTATATATCATTGTAAATAGATTGTCACAAATTATATGAAAAACTAAACATTTGTCAAATAGCACAATAAACAAAACTTAAAAGCATGACCGACACGGAGGAATAAGTTTCTACTTTGGCGCAAGATTGGTTCCAAACCCCATATCCCGAAAGCAATAATTCCAACAGCTGGTATCAACTTGAGAACAAGAGGGCTGCTTTGTAACCAACTGTATGATCTGCATTAATCAATACATTTACTGAATATAAATTGGGGGTGGGGAGGCAAGGGTGACTTAATGCGATAATTCCACACAAGTCAGGACACAGTAACTTGAACTTCAAACAGGCAAATCTTGCCAGCGGCATTAGACTAATACAAGGCATAAAAACAATAGATCAAAAGGGAAATAATGAATTAAATCCATACAATAAAACAAGCTTCATCTACGTCCATTCATAGAATCATGGAAAAGTCATAGACTCATGGTGCATCTGAAATAATGCAAGTGAAGAATTACCTCGATACATTTATAACAGCATTCTTTATACTTGTAATATCAACAGGCTGGCCTGGTTTCAAAGAAGAACGGCACCTAAACTGAAATTTTCTATAACAAAGTGCATGTTTCTTGACTTGTAATGTCATTGAAAGGCGGATACTCCAACAATGTTGCTGCTGAAGATGCAAAATATATAAATAAAATGTCAGCATATATTTATGAATGAAGAAAAAACAAGATCTAAAAGGATTTTACTTTTAACAAAATAAACACAGGATTTAAAATCATTCTATTTTCAAGAAGACCTAAAAGCACTTTAGCTTTGGCATCTTGTCATCTTCCTTCATTTATATCCAATGTGAACATGTAGAATTCCCATCGTTTCATCATGTGAAGTAAAAATTTCACCACAATAGTTGGTTTTTCCCATTGTCATCTTCCTTCATTTATATCCAATGTGAACATTCACTCACTGGAAAATTTCTCCAGCACTCGTTGACAAAGATAAATCTTGCAGCTTAATAATTTACAACAATATGAACTGTTCGTAGTTCCACGAAATACAGTGATTCATTTGTAACCTAGCTATTTAAAAAAATCCAACTAGCCAGGTGCTACACAAGCCACATCGTCCAAGTTTTATGAATAATGAAGAAATGGATGATCTCATTGGGAACACTCAAAGCATAGGATGATGATCATGATCAGAAATGCATCACCAGTGAAAGACCTTGAACAGTCGTAGCAAAACAATCAACTGAAAAAAACACATACCACGAGAAATGAGGACATCCTAGTAGTAGAGCTTCGAAACGTGCTGCCTCCAATCTCATTCTGTCACAACAAACACCATAATTCAATCATATTCCGCATTCTAAAATGGAACGGACAAGTACTGAAGACGATTATGATAGAAATACTCGTGATCTGTGATTGTGGTTCTTGCACGTTCCCAAATGATGGGGAAGTTGCAAAGAACCTGCGGCTTCCATTACTGGAAGAAACTGGTTTCGATCTGGAACTTCAAACGCAGCATAAGACGATAATCCTGCTACTCAGCATTCAATTCAGATATTGATGAGCCACTGGCCTTCCAGACGAATCAACACAATCTCGAACTGCTGGTGTGAGGTAGAATCGGAAGTATGAGAGAACATAACCTAATTTTCAAATGTCGGGTGAAATCTAGAATTAAGCAAAGATAATCACAATCCAAATCAACTCAGATGCACAGGAAATTGAAGTTCACGTCTAAAATTCGAGTCTAGAAAAGGGGGTTGAAAGCTTGGTGGTAGATAAGGTGGCGCCGAGGAAACGTGTACAAGAAAGAAGACAAAAATGATTGGGGAAGCCAAATTGAGGCTTGTTTGTTGTTTCCAGTACTCCTCTCACCCAAAAAATTCTTACCCCTTTATTGACTTAGTAGTAAAAAATTTAAAAATATAAAGACTTTTTATGTTTGTCTTTGATGTAATGAAATAAAATGAAGACTAGAGATAAAAAAAATAAGAAATCCTCCCTATGTAACACTATAAAACCACTAATATTACATAAATAACATTCCCTTAATTTTGTTGACTTAAACGAGAGTTCCAGCGTGAAAGATTTCCAACTATATACTCTTTTAATAATTTTATTCACTTCCATAGTTTTAGGAGTTGAACTATTCTCTTACCATGTATGTAGCGGTTATGTTTGTGCATTCTTTACACAACGACACTACTTAAACTCTCTGATCATTCACTTAGGGTTTTGATTATTTTTTTCAAAAAGGTTTGATTTCTTAAGATTTCTTCAAATTGAGAAACTTGAGTTTTTTGTTTGAAATTAGATTTTGATTTCTAGGGAGTAGAGGTGGCCATGGTGGTGGCCGTGTAGAGGCGCTGGTGGTGGTGGTGATGAATGTGTTGCAGGGGTGGGTATGATAGTGGTGGTGATGATGGTAGTGTGCTGATTACAATTGAAGTCAACAACGAGGGTTGCATTGAAGCACTAGTAGTGACACTGTGGCGACGATGGTGGTTATGTGTGATTGGGGTGATGGTGATCGTGACAGTAGCTAGTATGGTAATGACAATGACAATTTGGTGGGATAGTGGTCGTGAGGAGACAAAGTTGAAAGTGTGGTGGGGGTGGTAGTGTGGGGGTGGCAGAGGGAGAAAAGTTTGCCTCTAATTGTACATAATCTGCCGATAATTAAGATTTAGAGAAAAACAAGAGGCAGACTCACTTCTGCCGCTAATCACACCCCTGCTAAATTTAAAGGCAGAAAAGTCCGCCACTAATTTCTTCTAATTTAGAGGCAGAAAAGTTCGCCGCTAAACTAGAGGCAGAACCGTTCGCCTCTAAATTAGAGACGGAATTATTCAACGCTTAAGTAGACGCGACATTTTTTGCCTCTATAATAGAGGAGGACTTCTTTGCCGCTACCTTTCTAATTCACTAGAGGGAGGATAACTCGCCTCAAAATTTTCTATATTTAAAAAAATATAAATAATAATAATATTCCAAATACTCTATAGAAACATACAAACAATATTCAACCATTACACAATATCATAATCTCAAGAACTCACAAGTCATACAACTTTGCAAAAATAAGGTTGGAATACATAAAAGACCTTGAAATAAGTTTTCAAGAAGTCACAAGTCCTCCAAAATACCTTAAAATACCAAGTCTTACAAAAATCATTGATCAATTACCAACAAGTATCGATAAGGATAGCAAAATATACCATGCATGCTTTCTTTGACGCCCCCAAGTAGAAACATATTAATCACTCAATTCATGTTCATCACGCTCATCATTGTAGTGTGGATGAGTAGCCGGGGTCAATGACGGAAGAGCAGAAGATCCCTCCACAACTGCAAGGCATTGAAGTACAACTTTCAAAGACATTTTTATGCATCACATCTAGGTTGTGCCTTAGTAAATTATCCTTCCAATATGGAAGGTCTCAAAAAATACTTCGTTTCGTCCAATTGTGACTCACCCCAAATCCCGGTATCTTTGAAGGTGGCATTGACTTTGTCACTTGTGGTAAGTTCTGAACACTTTGCTACACGAGGTTTGTAACGCCCCAAAATAGGCCTATCAGAATTAATTAATTGATAATTAATTAATTACTGAGAAGAAATCCAAAATAAGTGATTTATAAAGTTTATCAATAAACAATGACAAATCGGAGTAGATGGTGTACCCCTTGCTTTACAACGTCAAGATGAAAAGGGATGGTCGAGGGTTGCTTGAAGTCCTACAAGGTTAAGATCAAAAGATTACTTTCCAGTGACACGAATTTTATTGAAATAATTAGTTGGTTTCTCTATTTTTAAAATGACATCAAGGACCATTACTATTTGCTACAATAAAAATTAAGAGGGGACATTTCCTCGCTATTTTGTTAATGACCGTCAAAAAATAGTATAGTTTTCTCGTTCTATCTTTAATGTAGTCATTTTAGTTGTATGTTTTTTTTGCATCAAACGGACAATTTTGAAGTTTTGAAAAACAGTTACATAAGAAATTGAATTTCTTAAAAAAACACTTACATAAGAAATTGAAAAAACTTTATGAAAAAGGAAACAAAGTAAAGAAAAAAAGGAATAAATAAGAAAAAAGAAACTAAAAAGTGAAAGCCATGAGCTTTATTAACATAAAACCATCATTATGGACAAAATGAGAAAAATATTTTTTTTAACAGGCATTAACAGAATAGTAAACAAAATATCCACTCCCAGTCTTTACAACAACATTTAAGGACCCTAATATCTTTTTGATCACAGAGGGACCTGCGAGTTATTTCAATAAAACACGCGTTAATCTAGAGTAATTTTTGGGTTAAGATGAAAAGGGGGTAATATGTAAGAATATTATGTGGGATTGGAATTTAGTACGGAGTAGTTAAAAGTCAGTTTTTTTTGTTACTAGAAACCATGTCCTAAATCATACTTTGTTGGGATTGGAATTTCGGATTGGGCGTAATATTGGGTGAGATTTGACAACTTCCGATATGGAGGTAGTAATTGTAATAGTGATCAGATGTGGGACACTTGCCCAACAACAGGCAATGACCTTATTACTCTTGCCTGACCATTTGTGATTTTAGTCAACTAATTGGAAGGCTAAAAGCATTTGTGTGTACGAAATCGGTCAGCCACACTTGATGAGGTCAAACTTGTGTGTGAGTATAGGAACATATGCATATAAACAAGCACAAAATTCAATCAACATGTTGGACCTAAAAGCTAAAACATAATGCAATAAAGCAATGTCATTAGGCAGTTAAAGAGAAATGGTTATTGCATCCCCCTCAACCAACATATACAGGTTCCTAAGAGTGCCCTTACAAGAAGTAGGTGTGTCCACTGAGAAATTTTATATATGTAACCATCTGAAGTATTTTAACTATATGATAAATTTAGACAAGTAAGCTTGGTTGACTTCCCTCGCAACAAGTCCAAGGACCAGCATTTAACAAGGTAGACATGAGCAGAAAAGCTAAATGCAGTATATAAAGATACTTTTATATTGATTTTCTAAATAACAAACAGCTAGAACCTAGAGGGGAAAAAACTCAAGCCATTAAAGAGCAAACAATATTGACTTAAGTAACCAAAGGCAAGCGGCTTACGTTTTAAGTAGCAATGAGTGAAAGGTATAGTACCATCTGTCAAAGGAATAAATTGGGAATCAGGGTTCATAAGCCAGTATTCAGTCATCTTCAAACCCTTGGGGTCATCAGAGTGATCAGCATTCCCAGCAGCCATTTCACTGCTTGGCAGCATCAGATACATCACAATCTAGGACAAAATGTATCGTCTACGGAGTATATTTTAATTATACACAACTTATAAAAAATTATTCTCACCTGCAATACAGTAGTGTGAATCCAGTACCTATAAACACAACCAGAAACGCACTTTTCCTAGTTTTGAGAAGTCAAATCTTATTGCACACATAACCCTACCCCTAATAAACAGCAAGCATAATTTACCCAAAAAAAAGCACGCATTTAAGAACATCAAACATAATTTAACCTTAAAAACAACAAATATGGTTTAAGGGTATGGATACAAAAAAAACATTAGAAGATGTCTTTAAACGGGGTGCAGAACCTTACAGACACCAAACATAGTTTAAAGGGATGCAACCTTAAAAACTTACAACAGTAATTTATAGGTATGCATAGCTTTAATAACAGCAAATATAATTTAGCAGTTTAAATGTCTTGTTTTTCTTGGTACAAGTTACAACAAACCATGTCCTAAATCATACTAGATCACACACTATGTTACATATGAAACATAGTGGCCTTCGATATATCACAGCTCTGGATGATCACACCACCTAGAACACTCATTCCTGAAACAGAGCAATAATTCATAAATTCTAAGTTTTTTCAATCAATAAGACGCAATGTCCACACCAAGAAATAAAAATAAATCATTTTTCCTTTATCATGCATCAATGGCTTAGTAATACTGCATGCTAGAGATGGGTAAATGTAATGAACCTGATTCGACCCATTTGGATTGTGTTAATGAAGTTTACACTTTCTCTTTTTGTTGATTTCAAAATAAACTTCATTTACAACAATTCCTTAAGATATTGTTTGGAAAAAAAGATTTCATTTGAATGGTTTGAGTTCAAATTACAAAAGGATGTATATGGATTTGTAATTAAGCTTAACCACGAATTAGAGAACTTTGACCCAAATTCAAATCCAAAATTTTAAGATTTCCAAACAAGGAGTTCAAGACAAATTCGAACTTGAAATCCATGCCTGGCATTTGAGACAACTTAAATTGGTTGGGACTTCCCTCTCAACTAGTCTAAAAACCCGCATTTAACAATGTAGCCTCAAGTAGAAAAGCACTAATGCAGTATTGCCAGTATATAATGATTTGTTTGCATGGAAATTTTAAATAACATATACTTAAAGCCTATAGGGGGAAAACACATGCCATAAACAAGCAAGTAATTGATTAAACACAAGCTATCAGCTTACAATTTACAGCGCAATGAGTGAAAGGTATAGCACCATCTGTCAATGGAATAAAACGGGTTTTAAGGTTCACAAGCCTGTATTCAGCTGTCTTCAAAGGCTTGGGATCATCAGAGGAATCAACATCCATTTCACAATGATTGGCAGCATCAGATACATCACATCCATCCTCTAAATCAAAAGTACCAAGCACTACAGAGCATTTACCAACATGATCAGTTAATCCCAATATGAAGTAATACGTATTTTCCTTCAGCTGATATAAACACCAATGAAGATGCTTCAAATGCGTGCCTTCAAAAAAATCACTGTAGCAACACTTGATGTCATGAATTGGATGGTATTCAAAATCTTTGGACGAGAAATTAATCACGAAATTACCACCTTCCGGGTCTAGTA